CAACAGCAAGAGGCATCATCATTCCAACTTAGAGCTAATGAGATCAATTAGAAAAGATCCAACTCAATTCATAAGATGTTTGGCAAATGAGAGAGGAGTTTCAGCTATGTCAGCCCAAAGAGCAGTGAAAAAAGACTTGAAAATGAAATGGTACATGAAACCTGTGAGGCAGCTTGTTACTCCAAGACAGAAAGTTAGAAGGTTAGAGAGGGGAAGATCAATTTGAATAAGTTGGAAAATGATACTGAAATTATATATATATATATATATATATATATATATATATATATATATATATATATATATATATATATATATATATATATATATATATAAAAATTAACACTCTTCCAATCTTTAATGAGCTTCCAATACTTAGCTATGATTAATTAATGATGAATCAATTTCATCATGATTCTTCTGTTAAGCTTGGAGAGTAATTATACATACTTATTGCTCAAATTAGAGCCCAATAGTATTATAAAAACCTTGGAGAATTCCAGTAAGATATCTTTAATCATTCCTAAGATACAACACTTCAAAGCTTATCTAATAAATGGACAATTTTGCTTTTACATGATCTGGACAATTTTATTGTTACACCCAGTGTGTTTGTGTGCATATATATATATATATATATATATATATATATATATATATATATATATATATATAATATAAAGCAAATATTACTAACGACAGCAAACATTTTGTGTCAATTTTTATGATAGACTTTTCTAAATTACAAATAATCCTTCTCAGACAAGGAGGAAATTTTTATATATATATATGGATATATTATATTAATAATAAATATACGCTAATGGTGCAGTAAAAAAATGTATATTTATTATTAACATAAATTATAGCTGTGTTATTATGTATCAAGAACTATTTTATTAGCACCAACACACACACACACACAAACATAGCACCAATAAAAAAATGAGATGATTATTTACAAATAGATTGACACTTTGGCATAGAACAAGTGTTTATCTGTGCACTGTCAGAAGTGTTATCACTATATAAAGTATATAATTATATTGATTAAAATTTGCTATATTTGTAAGGAATATTTCTCAATATTAGGGTTAGAAATAAAAATGGATAAACATCATATTATATGTATATATTAGTATTGTGCATTTATCAAATACAAATCTTATTATAAAACGCAGATTGTGTGTGTGTGTGTCTGTAACGTTTATATATTGGATCGAATTTCCTACATTTTTTAGCCGATTTCAACAAAACTTCACAGGACTACATAAAATTACGTTGTGGTGGTTCTAACAGTGCCGAAAATGGGAAAAAACAATTGTTTTTTAACAAAATCAATTTGAAAACACGATTAAGACACATCGTGAGAATGAAAGGGGGACAATTCACCCATGAAAATGTAAAAAAAGAGCATAGCATGATGAAAAAAAGCCGAACTTGACGAAAACAAAATTTTATCGTCTAATGTTCATATTATTATTAAAGAGGAAAGATCAAAGTATTTTGGGGATATTTTTTTACATTTTTTAATCGTTCCTAGCACGTCTGAAATTTTCGTTAAAAATATTGTTTTTTTTTTGGTCAAAAAAAAAAAAAAAAAAAAAAAAAAAAAAGGACAGATAATCATTTTCAATCATTTTTTTCGATTTGATAAAAAAGATTAAAATCTGACTTTGATATTCTTTTAAAAATCAATTATCATTGTTTCAAAACTGATTTTAATAAAAACAGAAATTATACTGATTATTTAAAATATTTTGAACCAAGCTTAACTTAGCTTCTGCGCCAAAAAAATGTAATTTGAAAATAAAACAAAGCAGGTCATAACCTTCGTCATTTGACGAAAAGGCACATTCATGACGTTTAGATAACTTACGGGAGGAGAATTCTTTTCTACGGATGGAAGGAAGTGAAATTATTTAAGTGAACAAATTATTTACCTCGTTACTTTTAAGGAAAACTTTCAGCGCTCTAATTTTTTATTTTTATTTTTTGTACTTAGCTTTCATTTTTACGTTTACGATGCTTTATGGAAAATATAAAGAAATTAAAAAATAAGACTGTTAATAGTGAGATTAAATTTCATAAGAAAAAGGTATCTAATTAATTTAGGTACCTTTCTTATGAAATTTTATCAGAAGTGTACATAAAATACTATAATTTTATGTACATTTATTACATTTTACTGTGTTATTTGTATTTCCATTCATTTTATTATTAATTTTGATATTTCATTTATGGAAAAATGTCATAACTGAGATTAATATAAAAATAAGATCATATAAATTAAAGTTTAGCAGTAGTTAAATTTCATAAGATTATACTGTTACTTGTAGGTACCCTTCTCAGTTGAAATTGAAAACTCAAATTAACTTCTCCATAAGTGCTTCACAAAAGTAAAGGGCTTAACAGCGGAGAACAATGCTGAACTCAAATAATGCAACTAAATTGTATTCTGGTTGGTCTTCCGTACTTGATAATTACTGTCCGACTATAAACACAAAAATTACATTTCTTAATTACCATGGCTAATCTGATTGGTCCAAATTATACAATTTTCAAAGCGCTAGACAATGACAATCTCACACGGACATTTTGAAAGGTTGATGTTGCTTTTAACTAATGTTAAAATATTTTAAAAATTCAATTTAAAAATTTTTAAAATCTTTTAAAATTAAAGAAATAAGAAATAATTGTATTAAAAATTCAATTTTCATTGAAAAAATTTTTTGCTTTCAGAAAATATTGTCCATATTCATAAAAACAAATTAAAACAAATAAAAGCATTTGAAACTAAATAATATATTTGTTTTATTGAGTTTTGTATGTTACAATTCACAGCTGATTTTCAGGTACGTTGGCCAAAAAAAAAAACAAAAAAAACATGATTTGCATTCTTCAAAGCCTTGTGCTTTTAACTATTGTAATCACTAAAACCGATGGTCTCGAATTTCTAGAGTTTTTCATAAAATTAGTTATGGGGGTGATAATAAATATAAAAAAAATATTTCTGCCATGACTTTAATAAAAAAAAAAACATATTTATAATAATTTCGATCATCTGTGAATAGTTTCTGAAAGTTTCATTAACATCTGACAATTATTTTTATTTTGCAAGATTTTCCAAATTAATGTGTGTAAATAAAAAAAAACGCTTAAAAATTATCTATGTTATTTACTACCCCTTGTTGCGACAAAGAGAAACAAGGTTTTTAAATCAAAATTTAGAATATTCTAAAAGATGGAAAAATTTAAAAAATAATGAAAAAAATTTAGTCTATCCTCTTCATAAAAAACATAAGCATTTTGACGATAAAATTTTGTTTTCATAAACTTTGGCGTCTTTTTCATCAGACTATGCTCTATGTTTTAGTGATTCTGTGGAGTGACTTAGGTTAAAAAAAGCCAGGTTGTTTGTGTGTGTGTGTGTGTGTGTGTTCCTTTATATATGGGATCGGATTTCTTACATTTTTCAGCCGATAAAACAAACATCCACTTTTTTTTTAGCAGGTAGTGTTTCTTATTGTCTTGCACACTTTTTTCTTTATTTATACATTCAGAATGCTTTAAAAATTCCATTTACAAGACAATTGTTTATAATAAAATTCTATTCAATCATAATGATTGAAAACAATGTTTTTGTTTGAGTTTGGGTTTGACCAATTCGTAAAAAAAAAAAAAATTAAAACATGCGTGTCCGTCAACCTAAACAATAATCTAACGATCTCTACTGATTGTACGAATCGAAAAATCGGATAATTCTTTATCTTTAGGGAAAGATAATTCCACGTACTTTAGGGCCGTTTTTACAATTCCCTTTGCAATTTGTTACAAGGCAGATCAATAAGGCATTGGTTCTATTTGAAATTAATTCAATATTTAAAAGAAAGTATTAAGAAATAATTTTAAAATGCCGATGAAAGAAATCCGATAGACAAAAAACAATATTTCGAAGATGATAATTATTAAGGAAAGAACACAGTACTTGTAATAAAATTAATAAACCCAAATAAAGTTAATATTTTTTGTATTAGAAACAACGAGTGGAAAATATATTAAAATCAGAATTCTAATTATGAATCACCACAAGCAAAATATGCAATTTTTTTTACTGTATTCAATAAGTAAAAAATCATAAATTGTAAAAGATTACAATGAAAGGCTACCTACATTTTTCAACCGATTTCAACAAAACTTCACTTTTTTTTGGCAGGTAGTGTTTCTTATTGTCTTGCACACTTTTTTCTTTATTTTTACATTCAGAATGCTTTAAAAATTCCATTTACAAGACAATTGTTTATAATAAAATTCTATTCACCAATCGATAGACTCATAACGATTGTAAACAATGTTTTTGTTTGAATTTGGGTTTGACCAATTCATAAAAAAAAAAAAAAAAAAAAAAAAACAACTAATTAAGACATGTGTGTCTGTCAACCTTAAACAATAATCTTTGTCAATTTTATTTTTCAGTCTTTATGATGGTCGATACTTGATCTATCTCTTACTGTTACATCCCCGGGCAACACCAGGCTCTACTGCTAGTTCATACTAAAGACGACACTCCAAATAATTGTTCCATTCTTTCTGCAGAATATACTTTGTGGTAAGCTGACTAATATTATAAGGCATTAATTGATCACAAATAGATTGTACAAATGTAAAAATGTACCTTCCTCTATCACTATGTTGAACTTAATATTTGATGAGCGTCACTACCTCTTAATCCGATACACTCAAAGAGTTTGATGTCTAGCTATTTTTTACTTTCACACATTTAACAATAATAGATTTCAAGAAAGTAAACTATAAATATTTACTTCTGAATGATGAAACAGTTCTGTTTAGGCTACCTAAACAGTTCTTAAACTGAATAGTTGTCTGATATTAAAGAGTGTTGAAGACAAAACTTTCAAGAAATATTGACTGGTACATCTAAAATTGTTACCCATTTGGGCAAATGTTGCATCTAAGTACTAAAAATTGCACACACTTACCTAAACAATCATCCTCATCTTCATCATCTCCTTCATCTGATGAACCATATCCATTTGCAGTTGCTATAAAGAAGTATAAAAATTTCAGTAAGAATTGCCATATATATATATATATATGTCTACTATTTGGAGATATTTCAGGGCAATATTTTTGACCTTCTGAAGTTGCTGGAAAAGTGAAAAGCATATGAAATCAGGTTATATAAAGATGCATGCAAAAGTTTCTAGCATTTTTATCTAAATATTAATTTTCTACTTTACATTCAGTCTACAGATTTAAAAAAAGAAAAAGAGAATGCTGAGAACTTTTGCATATATCGGATAAAAAAAATGTCAGTCAATCTCCTTCCTGTTCATTTAAAATGATAACCAGCAATAAAAATAAAATACATTTTGAATTAAAATTTTTAGCTAACACCTTGACAAAAGAACATAAATCAAAAGATGAGTTGAGGCTTTAAATTTATAATCAACCAATGAAGTGCAGATTTTTGTTTTTAATTCAGCCAAACTTGTTCAATATCTTATTTTTTGATTTCAAAATAATTCTCTATGCTTTTGAAAAATTACAAATATTGATGCATTTAAAAAACAAAAGATGATAGTAGCTTTAAAATCACTAAACTTATCCTAGTACTTTTCTTGGTGTTTATTCAATTAAACTACATTTATCAGCAACCATAAAAAAATAAAAATAAGTTAACAATGCCTGTTCAGCCACCATTCAATTTCATTTAATCAGTATTTCTTGTATTTAAAACACTGATCCAAATATTCAAGTTGGCTTATAGAATTATAGACCCAAGATCACGTGAACTCAAATTGCTTCTCAGATAATTTACTTAGAATAAAAACAAAGTTGTCTTAGTTAATATTAGACTGCCTCCAAGATTTAAAAAATAAAACTGTTTCAAATTCATAGGAATAACTTACTGGTTACACTGCTGGTAGAGAAGTCTGAAATTCACCTCTATTACATTTAAATACAAACAAGTTCCTCAAATGAAAAGGTGCTTCTAAATGGTCAATCTAGTACTGGTAAAATTTAATACCAACCAAACATAAATAACTTTTTCCTCTCATAAAAAAGTATGTATAAAAAAAACTTATGTGACAAATGCAGCATCTGTTTTCAAACATTTGTTAGAAAATTGTATAAAAATCACACCAAATTAAATCAGATTTATATACTGTTGCTGCTATATGATTTAAGTATCATCATTTTCTATCTCACTGCAAATATTTAAAAAAAAAAATAGGTCAAGAATAAATAAGTACATATTTGCTATGTTAAATTTTGTACATGCAAACCCCATATTACAATACAGTCTCAACTATGACTGAATTAGGACACAGATGTCTAAGTATTTCCCAATTCTATGCTTTTAGAAATTTTCAAAGGAAGAAGATTGGCTGACTAGAAATAACTAACATGAACAATTAAAAATAAATTGAAAAGGGAATAAGTTTGCATTAGACTGACACTGAAATTATTCATAGAGCTCTAAATATCATTTCCTTTTTATAACAAAATATGCTCAGCAAAACAAAAGGCACATATTCCCACTAAGTATAATATGAAAAATAAAAAGATAGTGAGCCAAAGAATCATTAAATATAGATTTATTATTAATCACATTTTTTACAGTATTGAATTCCCAGCTATAATGATTGACTGGAAAGCACAGGAGGCAACAAAATCATACAGACTGAAAGGAACTCAGCATCAGATTTGTTATTCAATTTAAATATTAAAAAAAAAAAAAAAAAAAAAAAAAAAAGCTGAAAATAGAAACTCAAATAACAAGAGTTATTCATGGAAAAGTTCATTTCACTAATATAGCAATTTTTTTTTTTTTTTTTAAGTATTCCAAATAACCCAACAGATGTCATAAAATTAAATATTTAAAAAATAGAAATAAAATATATTTCCAGGAACCATATTTACATATTAAGATATTGAAACATCAAATAAAAGATTTTTTTAAAAAAATGCAAATATATTTAAGCTTGGTTCATTTGTATCACAAGAGAATAGGAAAAAAATCTTTTTTCAAATCTTAATATGCTGCTTTAGCAAAAAGACAAAAGCAGCAACTAATCAATGGCACAATTTTTAAAAGGTATGCTTCAGTGTACAAGCAAATTGGATTACTGAATTTTGTTGGAATACAGAAACATGGAGCCTGTCAGATTAACAGGGAAGTAAGGTTGTTCAATTTTTAAAGAATCAAAGAATTAAAAACAATACAACAAAAGAAAAACAAGAACAAAATTGAACAAGATGAGAATGTGAAAACATAAGTGTCAAAAACAGAAGCAAAAAAAAAAAATCTGACAAAGTGGTAAGTAACAAATAGTGACAATTTTATCACTAAATGCATCAAAAGTGCTATTGCATTTAAGAGGAAATACTTAATAGATTTCTTCCGTCATTTTTTTTTTTTTCAAATAAAAAAAAAAGATGGATTTTTCCAGGAATCTGACAATGGAGCAATGGTTAGTTGAATGGTACTGGAAGGGAGAGCCTCTTGTATTGAAGAATAAGTTGAACTATTATGAGTATTTCTTGGAAGAGGTGGCAAAAGTTAAATCTGAGGAAGACAGTTGAAATGAAGTTATTCTCATGCCTTGAGAGAGAAAATGGTGATGTTGATAGTGGTAATTCAGGGCCAATTCTTTTAAGAACTGTATATCACTTGGAGTGGAGGGGGAGATACTACAGATGTATGTGGAGAGACCTCTTAAGAAATATGGTGGGGATTTTGACAGACAATCATTGAACTGGAATTTGTATATCTACAGCTTCTGTGTAGCAGTGAAATTGTGAAAAAATACCAGCTGGTAAATTATAGGAGCAGAATGTATTGTTTTGCTGGGCTGGGATTTGGATTAATTATGGCAACTGTACCCAAGACAATATCAAAAAAATTAGATACAATGAAAAGGGTCATTAACTCTTCCATAGATGATATATTGAAAGATAAAATATAGGTGACAACAACTGAGGCAATAGAGCATTTAAAAAAAAAATTGGGTTATTACAAAACTGCTGAAACCACTGAAAGGAGAGGCAGTTTTGAGGTTTGAATTTAAGGAAAACAATGTGGGACAAGTTGGTTTTTCAAAGGGGGCCAAAAGTAAACCTGAAATTGAAAGACAATCTGAGTAGATGGGAAATGTTCTCTGCATGTGGAAAATTGGTGTCATTGCTCTATTACTGAATGGATCTGTAGTGTGTGTTAAGAGAAGACCTGAAGGCATCATCTGAGAAAGTAAGAAAAAGGATAGTTGCTATAATGAGAGAGAGAGTGACAGGAATGAGAGAGAATGATCTAATGAGAGAGAGTTGGTATGTGCCTAAATTGGGGAAATAATAGTGTGATGAAGATGTTGTTTTAGAGGTAGGTGATATTACAATATGGCAAGTCTGAGAACAAAATAAAAAAGATCACTGCAAACATATTAATATAAACAAGAATAAATTTGACTTTAAAGTGGGCATTGCATGCTATCAAAATCCAAACTGATCCAAACTGATCTAGCAAGTGTGCTTGAGTGAGTGAAATCAGTGATTACCAGTGAGAAGAGAGTTCAAACAAAAGAAGCCACAGAAGTGATTAAGTGACATCTGGAATACATAATTACTGAATTTAACAAAGTTGCATATAACATTCATGCTCTTGGAGAAAAATGAAGCAGATGCTCTCACTAAGGTTAGGAAAATCTGATTGAGAGTACTAGAGAGGGAATTGGCTACAGTGCACTATTTAGGAAACATGTATCTAAGGAAACTGCACAGCATGCATCATTTGAAGGTAGATAGGATTATTTCTAGTCAGGAAAACTGACCCTGATGTAACTCAAGAAACTGTTTAAATAATAGTCTGAAGTTATAAGTGACAGTCAGCTGAACCCATTGCGGAGTGTGAATGAGAAGGAAAAAAAATTCACATAGAAGACAACTGAAAAATAAAGGAATTATCAGCAGTGGTGGTATCTTTCAATGATTGTGAACCCAAAAGAGTAGTCATATAGAGGAAGATTTAGGTAAAAGCTGCAGCTGAAATTTCTATGGTACTCAAAAAATATATATATATATATATATATATATATATATATATATATATTCCCCCCCCTATTTAATTTTCAATAAATTTTGAATTAATACTATTGTTATGGAAATCCTAATATATTGTTTAGCCATTTTCATTGATTAAATTCTTATATATCACCCTGAAAGTCATATTTGAAGTTGTAGCCTATATTCTGTGGTTGGATATCATAGTACCAAAACTTTTAAAACCTGAAAAACAATTTCTACCAAGGAAAATCTAATAGGAGTTGGTGCATTTCAAATATTCTTGAATATTAATATTAAAATCTTTTTATTATATTTCATGAATATATGAACAAGCATAAAACAATAATATATGGAAAGTACTGAAAATTTCTCAGCTTGATCCACTTCCCAATATCTCATCAAATAAGCAAAACAATTTTGTTTTGGAAGAGCTTCTTGGTAAAGCCAATAAATTTTCAACACCCACTCATATAGTCTTCCTTAAATGTTTTTGATTATATAAAAATAAATCCATTATTTTTCAAATCCTAATTGTGTATACATTTTAAATAGAGAAAGTGAGGAGATTTAGGCTTTTAGCCTTTGCATAATTATAAAAGATGTACAGAAACTAAAAATTAGGTTTCTTTTTCTTTTCTTTCTAAATATTCTTAAATCATATAATCTTGTCTTTTGCTAAATTCATGAAAAAAAAAAAAATTATATTATTTTAAAGATTAAAATTACCTTCAAACTTACTATGAGTAAAGATAGTCAACAAATGTTAATTTTTACCATTAATACTTGATTGGTATCTAAATTTGTTCAAATCAAAAACTGATAGCAAATTATTTTTCAAAATAATATATATAGTTTTCTTCCACCAACAATGAATTTTCTTTACTATTAAGATCAGTGAAATTTGATTTTGATGTTTGCTTTTTAATTTCAATGAAAATATTTTTTTTTGCAATATATTTTTAGTATTGTTCAAATGCTA